GGCTACATTTATTACAAGTATCATTACAGTAAAGACAATGAATAAATTGTGTAAATTAGTGAGTGAGTGCACAGAGAGTGTGCTTCGGATGAAGCTTGTGAAGATTACACTACGAAATAAGTTATCTAAAAGTTTTTAATTAAATTGCTTTGCAGATAAGCTACAAAAAAACACCACTGTGGAACAGGAAGTGATACTCTACCGCAGAGAGAGTGAACACCAAGTGACAGAACACAGGACAATATATACACTGCAAGATAACTATGAAAAAATCTAACAATAGTGCAATTAAACTACACAGATACAAAACAGATAAACTGACTCTGACTGTTTGGAGGGTGGAAGTCTGTTTGTAGTTGAAATCAAATCCACAAACATTGATTTACACAGTCTTGAACTCACAGGAATCTGCCTGATTATCACTGTACACTACACGACACGAAATGAAAGCTGTTGAACTCCACAGCTAGTTCCACAATGAAGAAGTGCAACTGCTCACTATGTGTGCAATTCCAGTGTATTAAAGAAACAGTACATAGAAATTGAATGAATGGGAAAATACTACTTAACAATAAATATTACACACGTCTGCCACGCCAGATGTGACAGACAAATTTTAAAGGAAAATGAAATTCACCATTATCTTTTGCTTATCCATACCCATGATAAATAACAAAACAATTCTTAACCAGTGTTGGGAAGGTTACTTTTAAAATGTATTCCACTACAGATTACAGGATACATGCCTCCAAGTGTATTTTGTAACGTATTCCATTACGTTACTCAATGGGAGTAATGTATTCTGAATACTTTGGATTACTTAATATGTTATCATGCTTTTTACAACTACATGAATGTACTATTACTGTGTGATTTATTACTATTACTGAAGCTTACTCGCCATACCAATACCAATTAGATTTTTAAATCTTAATATAAATGAGTAACAGTAGGTGGACATTAGGTAAGGCTGCACTTTTAGCAGCGATCTTGTATAGAAAGCTATTCTGCGCGTATATCAAACAGTTCCACGCTCCGAACCGTAGTAAAGAGATCT